CATTTGAGAGGTTTATAGATGGTGATAAAAAAATCACAGATGGAATAGAAGAATTTATGCTATCTTTAGAATACAAGCGTGATAATTCCAACAGATCTTTAAATAAAGAATCCCTCCCAGTTATTGTAACAGTAGGCCTAATGTCAAACGAAGAAGGAGGTGGACACAACATGTCGAAATCTCTATATTCTAAGAATATCCAAACTGAAGATAAAAGAAAGATTTCAGACTTAATGAATAAAACTTACTCCGACCAACGAAAAGATATTGCAAAGTTAACATCTATCATTACTTTTAAAGAAATGTGGCCTTTTCTTTTTGTTGAGCAATACTTTTTAGATCATTTTTACAAGTTGACAAATTACGACATTGTAAAAGCTTTTCAAGAAATGGTACCTCAGCAATTAAAAAGAATTCTTAAGTTTGGAATATCCAAGTGTTATATTAAGGATGACGAAACCACTGTGTTTTCCATATATAAAGTTTTTTGCAGCATGAAGATTATGAACAATTTATACATGTAACTCAGCAGGTATATGTAACCTTTTATATAGGCCCAGAATTGAGCGAGAGGGAGAGACGGGGGCTTAACGTTCTCTTGACACACACTAGGTCATTTTGGGACTAACATGGTTCAATTTTATTTCACTAATTTGCTTGAGCATAAGAGTCTTAAGCTGTGTGAGGAAACCGGACACATAGAAAACCCACGAGGTTTGACACACATTAGGTCATTTTGGGACTAACATGGTTCAATTTTATTTCACTAATTTGCTTGATCATAAGAGTCTTAAGCTGTGTGAGGAAACCGGACACATAGAAAACCCACGAGGTTTGACAAACGACTCTACTCCTTGTTACGTACAAGTGTGGGCTCGAAACCATGCAACTTGTCTCAATGACACACACACGCACCCCTCCTGAATTTGGTCTTTTCAAAGAATGCATATTAAAAGTAGATAAGTAAGTTGTCGAAAATTTGTAGAAAATCTTTGTGGAAAATTTCTCTCAATTGAACCTCAGCAGTTAAAGTTTGGCTGTGATATCATTTAACTATGTAAAGCAGATTATTATTTGCCTAAAAATATTCATATATATTCAAGATATAATTTTCTTTTTCAGAATGCATTAGTGAATGATGAAAAAAGAACGATACCTACTTCACCTTTTATAGTCTATAATGGTGAGTATTAATGTGGACAATGATCATACAAATGCTGTTTAGATATATGAAATAATACATTCATTTCTCCAAAATGCGGCTTATTGAAACTATTTGGTCATTCTGGAGGAAAATCAGAAGCTTGTTTGACATTATTTAAAGATAGATTATGGGAGATTACATAACGAGTTGGCAGTTCTCACTATAACAGTTAAAAACGAGATAATGTAAAGGCTATTTGCTGAAAATTTCAGTCAAATTAATCCACTATGAACCGAGAAATAAGCTATCGAATGTTCCCCATAGCCTCGGTCATCATTACTAAAGTCGGTACGACAAAAATCATAGTCTCGATTATCCATTTAATTGTTAAATCGAGAAGGAAAGTTATGCAGCAAATCTGTTCATAATCCAACAAATATCGCAGGCTAGCGTTGACATCGAGCTAATTAATAGTTTATATAACATAGTTTATTTAGCCCTTGGATAATGTATGTTTAACAAAGTTTTTTCTGATGGCATTCACGGATCCCTTTAAATACAATGGTGTATTTAAAAAAAATTATTTACCTTTTCTTTAACTTATTCTTGCCCTTTTGTGAATTTCGGTGAAGACAAATGTACAGTATATGTTGATACGGAGCCTGTTATGGAAGTTAAAGATATGGCCACTGCACTTTCTATTCAGTTTGCGGCTTTTTTTGTTTTTGGCATCTGCTACCCCAAAAAGGTGATCAATACACTAGAGGCCATTTGAAATCAACCATTAGTAAACAATATTAATGTGTCAGAGACACGATGGATCAGTGATGCTGGCTCATTACCCTTTGGCCAACAAAGCTACTCAGGCTTTCGTTTTCCAGCTTGACTTCCTTGTCAGTGGTGCAGGTTGGGAGATCCTAACCATGAAATGTGCCAATTTGTTTACATTGTAACAAAAACTCTGTTGGCAGTATAGGCCCTAAACATTTGCAAATTGAAAAGAAGTCGGAAAGTTATATCCATGTCTTGGCAAGAACACCCTTTAATTTCATAGTCTTTATAGTCTTCATCGTTTTTTTCAGGTTTGTTTTAAAGATGAAAGATAAGAAGAAAAAGAAAATACCAGAAAAAGTCGTAAATTTAGCTTCAGAAATAGCTAAATTTGAAGCATTGTCAGATTTACTGGAGTAAGCTATTTTAACAAAAGTTGTACTTAACAGTAATTCTTGTTATTGTAATTCATGATTATTGTAATTTTATTTGAGAATTCAAAACAATTTTATTAGAGAATTCAAAGAAATTTTATTTCTAATATTTTAATATTTTACTAGTATGACATAAATTTGTTTTAAAGGAGTGTCACACGATTTAATGAACATTTATGTATTTATGTATGATCATTTGTATTTTGTATGGCCAGACTCTAGAATAATTTTATTTGTAATATTTTAATATTTTACTAGTATGATCATTTGTATTTTTTATGGCCAGACTCTAGAAGAAATTCCTAATTATAATATTTGCAATTTTTAGGCAATAGCTAGAACACTATCATAGACAGGCAATCTTAATTCTGAAAGAAACATTAAAATTTTGTTGTGTAAAAGTGTTTTTACATTATGACTGAACCACTTTTGATATATTTAAAGCTGCATGCTCTTGCTACAGACTGGCCTTAAATTTGTCAAGATTTTTTTATGTGTTCCTTTATATGTTGAAGTAAGAGACCTTCTTACTTTTGATTTCAGTTCTTAAAGGTATTTTTGCTAAGGCAAAATAGATTTTATGTATTAGTGTGATGATTTAGTATAGTAAGTTTATTTTGAAAAAAAAAAAATATTGGAACTTTTTTTTCTCATAGATCTGTTAATGTTTTGTATACCCGGATAGTAACATTTTTTCAAGAGGTTTAATGGATTGCCTGTTAAAGTACCGATATTCCTTAGGATTGCCTGTTAAAGTACCGATATTCCTTAGGCTCAGAAAGCTGTATTATAATATTTGCAATGTTTTTATTTTACAGTAATTCTTGTTGCCCTAAATTATTGTGGGTTTTTGTTGTAAAAATTCAGACTAATTATATTTGTATTATTTTGATATTATACTAGTATGCCATAAATTTAGTTTATAGGAGTGGCACACGATTTAAAAAACATTTATGTCTATACCAGACTTCAGAAGAATTTCTAAAATATAATGTTTGCAATTTTTAGGCAATAATGTTGCTTTTAATATAACTAAAGAAATAGAAAACATTTAAAGAAGCATCAACTTGAACTCTAACATATATATCTAAATTTGAAAAAAAAAATATTTTGTTGTGTAAAACTTTATTTACATTATGACTGAGGCATTTTGATATTTTCTATAATCATTCCATGTTGTTTCTATTATTTGTTGTCAGAAAATACACCATTTAATCAACACTTTTTGTCTTTGTATGATCATTTGGTTGGGGTTTTTTTGTTATGTTCATTTTTAATAATTTTTATTATACATTTGACATTAACAGAAAATAAATCATTTTTCAGAAGGTAATTCCGTTTTTTTATTTAACCACATTTATTCTGTTAAAGAACAGAAATAATTCTGGCAGCAGATTTACCAGAGATATTCTGTAATTTTACCTATTTTTGAACAGAACGTACTGCCGTGAATTAACAGAAATTGTCTGTTAAAAAAACCCAGAAATATCTGGTAAATCTGCTGCCAGAATTTTTCTGTTTTTTTTACAGAATTATTTTTTACAGATATACTGAAAAGTGTGTAAAAATACAGTCGTTTCTGTCCACATGCAGAAATGCAACTAAAACAACAGATTTTATGGTAAAAATACGAGTTAATTATCTCAAATCATATTTAAAACGGATAATTTCCTTCAAATAACAAAAAGTAGGGATTTTAAAAACAGATATTGTTTACAGTGTGCCTTGACGGATTCCTATGATGAGCATTTGCCATTAATGTTAAGTAAATACAAGGAATTCGATTGGTTGAGACTTTGAAACAAGAAAACTTCGATTCTAACGGAGTGAGAGGGTACAACTGGGGATATACATTAATACCTTGACTAAGTTCGATGAAAATTTTCTGCTTAGGATAAGTGATTGGATAGTTCAAGAATTTATAACATTACAACTCTGCTGTTAATTGGGACAGAATGTTCTAACTTGGCGTAGAATGTTCAAACTTGGTGTAGATATACATTAGGTGATTGTTTTGACTGAATTCAATGATACAGATTAGGTGTGTTGTAATCGTATCTTAGTTTGGCATTTAACGTGTTTATAGATTATTTTGAAATGTAGTAAGGATCATTGAGACCATGAGAGAATGAATCCTGTCGATTTTCAGCATTCTGCGACGTTTTGTTCCGGAGTTTTCTAACTTCTCCAAAAGGCTGATGAAAGGGATATAGGCTACAGTAAAGCTTTGTGTTTATGAGAGGACGAACCCTATTAAACTTCAATTTCATCATATTTACATACTCTTGGGTTTATATTTATATATAGGTGTAGCTCCTTAAGACACTGCTGTCTGTCAAGTCTGTCAACTCCACCAGAATCCTTACTTGATTAATCCGCCCCTCGTCACAATCCTCTAGTTTTTGAGCTGAGGGCCCCGGGTTACATAATGAAAAAGTGACAGTTAGTCTTCATCTGATTTTCCTTGTCATTTAAGTGAACCCGACCAACTTTAAATGTTTAGCTGACATGTAATCTGTCTTTACTTCTCTTGGTTTTGTGTTGATTTTGTATTGAATAATTGAATGTGTTTATATAACATGGTTAGTATTTATTTGATATGCTACATTTTGTTTCTCGTCTTTTATATTCTTGTATAATGCTGAACTTACCTTTGCAAATCACCGACGCGTCTTCGTCATGTTTACAATTGTCTTTTCCCCAACCAAGATGAGAACATTCAGCTAGTGCCATGTTAGATGCTTGACAATTAACATCATCTAACCAAATTTGACCAGTACCTTGTCCAAAACTGGCAGACGTGAGAGCAACCGCCCCAGTTCTAAAAAAAATAGCTCTTAATTATATATATGGAATATGCATTTATTCAAAAATGTAAATTTGGGATTAAATAAGGACTATATCACTGATAAGCTGATACCGTTGACTTATGATAGTGATCCAGAGCCTCAAATATGTGCACTAATAAAAACATTCACGTGAAAAAATGTTAATTCAATTATTTATCAATGAAGCCCTTAAAAATATCTCCTTTACACGTTAAGACTTTTGAAAACAATTTGATATGAACCTTGGATAAAACTCAGCGATTTTTTCATTTAGCTGAATGTAACGGTTCTCAATTCAGAGTCACCTCGTGCAGTTTCGTCCCTTTTCTATCTTTTAATCTCACGCTCGCAGCATCTTACTGACTCTGCAAGACTGCGAAATTTACTTTTACGTAATCGTAAAACCTTGTGGTGAGTTGCCACCTCGGCGAGTTTAGAAGTTGGGTTTTTGCTAGCTCTAAATGCCTTCTAACAAAATATACTTTACGATTCCATTTTTGTTGACTTATTCTTTGGTACAGGTGGTTTGAGCGACGAGAGTCATTTTATAAAAATAAATCAGCCAAAAGATTTGTTGTTCAGGATTTGATTTGAGCAATCTGACCAAACAGCTCTGGGCAAACATCACAAGTCATTTAAAAAGGATTATTAATAAATTACCGACAATTTCGAATTTTGATTAAAATGTAAAACAGGTACATATTCTTGGGGCTACTATGAGAAATGAAATGAAATGGTGTTTAACGTCCTAATGTTGTGCTCCCAAACTGGGCTAATGAAGACGGGCATATACGCCATAAAGTGTGCTATGAGGGAAATTTTGCCCGGGCAGCGGCACTATCGCCTACTCTTATATTGATTTCCAACTGCCACGGGATCTTTTACGTGCATTTCAACGGGACCTCGGTTTTTCGTCTCATCCGAAGGACTAGAAGCTGTCATTGTCAGGCCCTCCGTCCTGCATCACTGACAAGGGGGAGCCACACCGGAAAATCTGGATGAACTTTCTCGACCAATGCAGGGATCGAACACCCAACCTCCAGGCTAGCGAGCCAGCGTCTTACCCACTTAGCCACGTGATCCCCCGGCTACTATCAGATGATCTGAGCGTGTTTAGTAGCAACGTTCCTGGGATACCTAGCGTTAGAGTCAACGCGATATAGAGATTCTGATTCACAATCCATGCCGAGATGTTTAAATTGTACTGAACATATTTTTGACAATATCACTGACACTAGTTTAATAAAAGGAATAGCATTGTTATGTTAAAAAAAAAAAGATTTTGTTGTTTAAAAATCATATGTTATGTCATTTATTATTACACAAACACTTGATAATGTGAATGTATTGTCAACTAAGGCACATTTTTTTTTATTTTGTCGTACCACACCATTTTTGCTTATGCTTTTACAACCGTTATGCGATATGTCTTGGGGAAATTCGAGTGCTGCATCAGAACGTAGTTCGCATCTGAATCTTTTATTTTGTATTTACCTCACCAATTAAAAATAACTATTGTTTCTCGAACTAACCGACGTGATATCGTTATTTAATATCTAATAGCTCCCACATCAACGTTTTTTTACAATACGAACTAAATTATTCATTTTAAATAGTTAAATTATTTGATCTATAAAGCTATCGTATCGCTCTCTCGTGTTTAAAAAATTAAACGGTATACATATGCTACATTCAATCGTAATTTGGACGACCTTAAAAAAAACACGAAGAATCCCGATTGAGTTCATTAAGTATTCGTTACAAGGCGAAGGTTGAAATTCAATTGTGACCAAGGACATTAACTCTTTATGATAAAACAAAAAAATCTACCGATGCAACACCATAGGTACCAGTTAACTTTCGACAAAGTTACAAAATATATTGAAATGTTATATCAAACAAAACTTAGATATATTTTTAATTGTTTATGAATGATGTTTGTAATGGTAAGTCTTATCCTATATTTTAAAATAAGCCCCACATATAGCTCGTTTATTGCACTTATAAACCTAAGCCATGCACAGAAAGTGGTTAGAAATCATACAGTAGTCCATGTTCCTGAAGCTAACGACTGCAAGTTTAACAACATCTGGCCATTGCTTGTTTACTTCACAATTCCCGAACTTATAGCTATGTTATCTACAGACATGTGAGCAGTAGCTTCCAATCAGAGATTGTGACATCGCGACCTCCACGGAAGCCTTGACATTGAATGAACCTTGAACTTTGCAACTCGATTATCACAGGTAGACATTTAAGCTTGAAAGCGCGAGACTTGGTATTAGCGACGATCGAGGAATCTGATAGGCTCACAAGTTGGGCTTGTACCCAATCGAAATTAGTGCCGCAATATGCAGGGTATTACGTGAAGGCCTTGATAAGATGTACGTAGTTAAAGCGAGATCAAACCTTCTATTGAGATGACAGTAGTCATTAATTAGCAGGTGTGTAACCAGTTATAAAAGATGCCACTACTGGTGTATACATTTTTAGACACCAAGTCTGCAGTGAGGGGGTGGGGGGCATACCATACGACCGACCTGGCACCTAACCACTAAACCTACTAAGATGACATCTACCAATCCAAAGAAGGAGACACATAGATGTCCGCATAAAGATCAAATACCAAATAATATGTTTTTGATTTTAAAAAAGGAAGAACTTCACAGTAAACCACTCCATGGCCTAAGGCTGTAAACAGAAAGACTGCAAAATCATATCCTATATATATATATATATACAGGAAGATGCTTCGGCTCTCTTATTCTTGTCTGCGATGTCACTTTAGTGGAAGCAGACGTCAAAGCAACAAGGTACTACTACTGTATGTCATCCAATATTCACGCTTTTAACACCTTGTTGCAACTATTTTCATTTAAAAAAGTATTTTTGTTTTTTTGTTTAAGTCAATGATATTAACATTACTGTGTATTATACACGATATCCGACAGTCCATAGCAATAAAGCGAACCAATAACACTGAAAATCAGTATACAAATCATTGTTTAAAAAATTCATATACGTGAAAGCGAATAAGGCGATTTGTTTTGAAAAGCACGTTAGTCTTTAATAGCAGAAGTAACATTTCTTAACATAATAAAGAATGCCAAGATATATTATCAATATATATATTATAAAAAAATACGTAGAAAAAAAAGGAATAACCACATGTTTTTTGGCTAACGTTTTCAGTTCTGCTGAACCTCTTCAGGGGCCGGTTGCTCAAAACTCAGCTATTTTAAAGATCGTTATCTTGCTAACGTGCCATTAAATTTCTGTTGATTTCATCACTGCATGGTTTAATAATATTATTCTAACGTGTTAAAGTACTTTTCGTTCGTCTTAGGACTATTCATAAATAATGCCATTACATAGGGGTGGACACCATATTACGTATATTTATATATATATATACATAGAAACACTGTGGTTTTAATTGGCTATTGTTACCATTGTCTATGGTTACATAGTATATAGATGTTACAGTCAATGTCTACAATCAGGTAATGTGTACAATGCCTTTGTAACCCTAACCCCCACCCCAACCCTTACCCTAAACCTAACCCGGCAATGTACACATTGACTGGTATATTTCAGGCATTGTACACATTGCCTGATTGTAGACATTGACTGTCACATAGATAACTAACAGAACCCATTTATACACGTGTGTTAATCTGTTGTCTATATGTACAATTTAGGAACAATGAGTGGAAGATAATCCTGGGATAGATTAAGAACATTAATGTGAATAGCTAATTGTTACATATCGACTTTTACGGAGAGGAACGTTTTTTTGTTTTTAATAAAATGGTTTTCCATTAATTAGCTTTTTGTTATGTCATCGACTTTCATTTTATAAAAGGGAAAATTTGAAATTTCACTTGTAGGTGTTGTACACGTAAGTGCCAATTTTCAATAATACAATCCCGTTGCGTACTCTATCCCGTAGATGTGTATGGAAGGGTATCGCTGCCAATATTAAATGGCCTGTGACCATGTCGTTTACATTGATGGTACGTAAAAAGTACAATGTAAAAAGTCCTAATACCGGTAATGATAAAGTCAAAATACCTCTAAGGCAAGAGTTAAATGTAAAATGTCTAATGGTAAGTGTCAATGAGACAAATGATTTGTTAGAAAATTCTTTGATTGACGTGTCTACATTTTACATTTCTCTCATTACGTTTTACATTTGCGCTCTGCCACATCTCATTTCTCCTTCACGCTTTCTACATAGCATCTTTCGCACAGCATCAAGTTTCATATGCAAATGTAGGATATCACGCGACTTATTAACATATACAGAAACCTGGCACACTATAAACCAGCACACTATAAGGATTTTCACCGCACGATAACAGTAAATCAAGCTGGTACACTATAAGAAAATATCTAGACGACCGTGCGTAATCCTAAATGTGCCAGGATATATTTGATAGATTCAAATAGCCACAGAAACATACTTTCCAGTAATTTATAACAAAATAACTGGGATTTCGTATAAATACCCGTATTTTGACGGTCTTTCTATAAATAGAGTTAAGTACAGTCTAATTAACTTTGTCCATTAAGAAAAACCCAACAATACATAAGCATTAAATAATATATTTAAAGAGAGGAATGACAATACCCCCCCCCCCCATCCTTCCTTCACTTCAACTTTAATCTTATTTTGTAAAGTTATGCAAATATGATTGTGCCCAAAAAATATTTGCATATTTGAAAAGAGCAATCAGTGATACGTAACATGGTATCTGGAATTTCGTATTTAGACCAGTATTTTTACTTAATAGGCCTTAAATGGTGTTTCCTAACACGCGATGTTTTTCAAGGTATGCTAATCTAAATGTGCCAGTAAATTATTTACATATCTTTAAGCAGCAATGGGCGTGCTTCTAGTGATAGGTAGTGTAGTATCGAGAATTTCGGATTAAGACCTGTATTTTCACATTGAATACAGCCCCCCCCCCCTCCGCAATCATGGCAATAGATTTTATAACCAAAAGATCTCAGTTCCTTTTGATATTCCCGCATATCGGAACATAACTTCCTGAATTATGGCCACTGATTGTACGAAAAATCGTGTTTTTAGCTTGTGGACCTTATAGAGGTCATAATTTTTATCCGATTTAAAAAACCGTATTATAATATCACCGCTAAACCCTTAGGACAGTTGAGTTCGAATTTCGTGAAAATCGGCCAAAAACTGACAGACAAAATGGCCGCTGTTCGTTTTCAAATAGCGTAAAAATATTGTATATCAAGGTTGTGGACCCTATAGAGGTCACAATTTTTATCCGATTTTGTTGAAACTTGAAATGTAAGTTTATAACCCAAAGATCTCGGTTCCTGTCGATATTCGCGCATATGGGACTGTAACGTCTTGAATTATGGCCCCTGATTGTACGAAAAATTGCGTTTTTAGCTTGTGGACCCTATAGAGGTCATAATTTTTATCCGATTTAAAAGGCCGTATCATTATATCACCGTTAAACCCTTAGGACGGCTGAGTTCGAATTTCGTGAAAATCGGCCCAAAACTGACAGACAAAATGGCCGCCGTTCGTTCTCAAATAGCTTAAAAATATGGTATATCAAGGTTGTGGACCCTATAGAGGTCACAATTTTTATCCGATTTTGTTGAAACTTGAAATGTAAGTTTATAACCTAAAGATCGTGGTTCCTTTCAATATTTGCGCATATCGGAACGTAACTTCCTGAATTATGGCCCCTGATTGTACGAAAAATCACTTTCTTTTTAGCTTGTTCTCTCTCCATCTCTCGAAAATGTGGGCGTATCCTGCCTGGCAGCCGCTGGTTCTATCAAGACTTGTTTTTTAACACTGAATACCCCCCCCCCACACACACACACACACACAGGCACATAAACCTGCATTATGCAAGAGCTAAAACTGTCTTATTGCAGGACTTTCGTTGGGCCTTACATAAATTATTAATTAGGCAAATTAACTAATCAACCAGACCATAATCGATGGCATCGTTAGTCTGTGATATTTATTGGATTTGAATTATGAAAATACAATGTACTAGAAAACTATTTACATATTTACAAATAGAAATGAACGTGCTTTTCGGTAATATGAGAACAGGTATGAAGTAGATACATCGCTGTGTGCAGTATGGCAAATTTCTTATTGTGTGCTAAGCTGATTTCCTGTTTTAGTGTCGTGAATATTTGACTTTTTACATTTAACTCTTACCTAAGAGGTATTTTGACTTTATCATTACCGGTATTAGGACTTTGTACATTGTACTTTGTACATATAATCAATGGAAAAGACATTGTAGCAGAGAGTTTAATATTGCCAGCGATACCCTTCCATAGATGTGTGCCCGTATCTCCGATATAATATTTTTGACACAATTACATGTCAAGACACATGAGATTTTTTGTGTCACAATAATAGACCGGAGACACAATATTAATTGTAGTCTGGGGGCTCAGTGGTGGGGGTCCATCAAATGGGCACAAAACCAGACCCAACTTTTCTATAGTAAAATTTCGCGTAGAATACGTTGCCGAGTGGTAATCAGTCCGCGTTTGGAGCGTTTTCGAGATATTCGGGGTTAAAGATCAAATAAGGTCATTTGCACTGAAAGTAGGCCGTAGTGCCGCTGTCCGGGCAAAATTTCCCACATAGCACACTGTATGGCGTATGCCCGTCTTCATTATCCCAGTTCGGAGCAGAACAGTAGGACGTTAAACCTCATTTCATTTCATTTCCCAATATCTCGAAAACGCCTCAACGGCGGACTGATTACCATATAAAAGTTTGGTATGGTTTTGTGCCCATTTGATGGACCCCCGTCACTGAGCCTCCAGACTACAATTAATATTGTCGTTGACAATAATAGTAAATTTATGAAAATTATATCTGTTATTTTGCGATGTATATGGCCGCAACATTTACATCGAAGATCTGGCCATTTAGATACATAACTACCGGTCCTTGTGATAGAATTTTGCTTTGATTAAGGGGCGTTCCAGATTAGGTGGTGGTCTTTGTGATTTAATGAATTATTTACCGTGAAACAAAGTACTTCAGCTTTACGGCTGTGCCAATATTTTGGATACATATACATATATATATATAAGAAAATGCAGAGGAAAAAAAATATATTTACGGGCTAAATCCAAGTTGTCGACAAACAACGGACGCATCTATATAGTCCCAATTATCATCACAGACTGTGCCCCACCTATTATTATGAAGCACTTCAACTCTTCCTTCGTGTGGTACAGATCCTCCAACTAGTCGTATCTGTTGTGATGCTATAAAGAAATAGTCAAAACCTTAATATAACATATTACTGACACCCTTACACCTAAAGCCTCACAAAACAAATTTCATTAATACTATTTAATACCACACTCAAAAATTGTATACCAAATATATATTGGTACTTCACACACAATGGTAAGAGAGATATGCTATAACTACTGACATTTCGCAAGTACAAACAAGTAAAATGTTCAAATACGAAACAATTCTTACACACTGGATTGCGCGTAAAAGTATATTGAACATTTGAAATTTAGAGAGGATAATGTGAAATATCGAAATTCTCCCAACCCTCACAATGCACATAGTGACTTTCAGTGGCATGGTGAAACGGTCGCGGTCGATCGGCGAGATTGTGTAATGACGCCCCAATGGAGATTAGCAGATGCAGTAGGCGTTGGGGGGGGGGGGGAACTCTGGCTGTTTGCCCGAAAATTTTCTCCAGAATATTTAGAATAAATCAATCATATATTATATTCTCTGGCCTGCCCGTCATCATCAACTCCTGATCCTGATGGCCTACTGTCACTGAACACGTGTACTCGCTCATCACACTCACAAAGTCGCGGCTCCTCTTGTCTCGCCTAGTCCTACCAGCCTAGCATCCGACTCGTGTTCAGTGTTGCCATTTGCACTGGCAGAACTGGCAGAACATTGAGTATTCGATAGCGACGAAGACAAGACGACGGATGCATTTGTGATAGAAAGAGACCATCGTCTTCTGATGACGTGACTACATCGTCTACCACACCGGCACCAGGATCCGCAGCACCTCATGCCAACGATTCACCGCCTGACGTCCAGTCCAAGACGGAAGCGGCTTGTCTATATAATCTTGACGTTGCTGTGCCAGCTGAGCCCCGTGTAGTGAACCCATCGAAAACTACGTTTGGGGTCGTTCTTGCCTCGAGTACTCGTTTCAAAAGACGCGCGTTTCTGTTTTCCGTGCCGAAAATATTTTTCTAGTAATGAAAGAGATCATGTTTTTACGCCCATACTGTAATTCTATGAATAGAATAATACAATACCTTTCAATTTGATACTACAGCTGTATTGCCCGGCCTAGAGTTCCCCGCGTAAATCAAAAGACACCCTCTACTACCCTCAAGATGATATCGGCGGGAGGAGTCGAAGAAGGAAAATTCAACCATAAAACCATGCCTGAGGCACTTCAATTTGAGGCCCAGGAATGCACTCAGATGCGAGGAGAGAGTATCAAATTTTCTGGGGGAGGACTCGCAGACCCCCCACCCCCCGCCCTGGCTCACGCTTAGCCGGCCATATCCTGAGCCCCTCCAAAGAATTTCATAGCCCCATCAAATTTTACGAGCTGTCTACGAACCTAGATGACTGCCGACTGTTTAATCACGTTATTGCCAACAATAAAAAGGGCGAAAATTCAGATAAGCCAACGCTAAAAACTAACAATTTAGAAATCGATATATTTTAGACCAAACAGCTCTTTATTTATATACTGTCAAAAAATCAAAAACCAGCAGAGGTCATAAAGTTCTATGCAACTAAATGATCGTTTAATTTGATGAAAAGTATAAATCACTTTGTCATAATATTATATCAACTGCACTACTCACCGTTTACATGCAACCATGGAAATTTTAAAAGGTTAGTTTTAAAACGAAACTCTAAATCCATTCGTTTAATAAACAGACATTTATTGAGCTTTATTTTACTCAAAGGAAACCTGCAATTTTTACATATTGACTAGTCCACCAAAAACACCGAGAACCTAGAGACTACGCACAGCCTAACCTAGAGCATCATCTTTCCACCGGTAAATAAGTCAGCTATGGCCTCTACCCACTTGGGTGAAGGAGGTGATAAGAATATAACATTCATATGTCCCGTGTGTCGTAAAAGGCAGCTAAAAGTATCCCTGTAATGGGGCATAGTGTTTACGACCCGTGTCGGTAGAGATTGGAATCCTGGTAATTGTGTGGGGATTTCTCTGCAACACATTACTTTGGCCCATGTTTCCCCTAGACGAGGTCAGATTGGCCTCTCTTATCAATCAGCTTTGGTCGTATTAGCTCTTTAGAATGTACGTTTCTCAATTTCAATTCTTTGTTGTTTTCTATACTCCGCAAGTTTACCTGGTGCTGGGTGCATTCTACAGAGAGTCTGATATATAATGTTTCTCGGCGGATTATTGTTGGGTAGGGTCCCCTTGATTTTTCCAGGGTGGGTGTCGTCGTGTCACCCTTGGGAAAAATTAAATATTCAAGATGGCGGCCAAAATTGGTGAGAAAAATACAAAAAAAAAGTCATTTTTCACCATCCTAGGTCGTGTAATATATCGTTTTATATGTTTTCGGGGTCGCTGAACACGAAATCGGGCATATTTTTAACATCCGACCTATTCGGACAAAGATATTCAAAATGGCGGCCAAAAATTGTGGCGGAAGTACAAGAATTTCATATTTCGCCCTACTAGGTCTTGTAATATATAGAGAATCTCCTACCAGTCTTTTTTGATATCAGATACCATATTCTCCCCAGATACACACATGGGTAATCCCATATGGACACCATATTGGCCCCATGTATACAAAACAGAGTTGTTAATGTGGGTAATCCCATATGGATCCCATATTGGCCCCAGATACAAACACTATAAGGTTAGGTAATCAATGTAAGAAAGAAGTAAGCATTATATCATTTGGCTTATCTCTGTGATATTAATATATACACAACTAAAAGTATGGATTCAATAATGAACTTATACATAGACTAATAAGTAATCCCATATGGTTACCATATTGGCCCCAGATATACAAAAGTTATATGTAATCCCATACAGATACCATATTATCCCCAGATACACAAACGGGTAATCCCATATGGACAACATATTGGTCCCATGTGTACAAAAACAGAGTTATTAATGTGGGAAATCCCATATAGATCCCATATTGGCCCCAGATACACACACTATACGGTCAGATTATCAATGTAAAAAAGAAGTAACCATTATATCATTTGGCTTATCTCTGTGATATTAATATATACACAACTAAAAGTATGGATTCAATAATGAACTTATACATAGACTAATAAGTAATCCCATATGGATACCATGTTGGCCCCAGATATACAAAAGTTATATGTAATCCCATACAGATACCATATTATCCCCACATACACACATGGGTAATCCCATATGGACACCATATTTCCCCATGTATACAAACACAGAGTTGTTAATGTGGGTAATCCCATATAGACTCCATATTGGCCCCAGATACACACACTATAAAGTCACATTATCAATGTAAGAAAGAAGTAAGCATTATATCATTTGGCTTGTCTCTGTGATATTAATATATATATTAAAATAAAGTGTATTCGCGTACATTTGTATGTGGTAAGATAATATGGGTCCTATATGGGGACCTTGTGGTATCACCTGGTCCCACAGCCCAATTTTTCCCCATATGGTCCCCATGTGGCAATGGATACACCGGAGCTTTTCCGAACATCGCGGCCATTCCCAGAAGATTTATGAACATTTACAGGACCATCCACGATGGCACGTCGCAAGGCATTTCTTGTGGGACTACTCCGTTTTTTGGCAAAACTATTGGGAGCCATCGCGAGAAAATTGGTTTATTTCCACATCGCCGATGATATTTACCCAGTGGGACCTATAGTCATAAGCACTTTGCTTAATTCTCGCGAATGTCCTATTTAGCAGAAAGAGAAACCAAAGCAACAAATTATGTGTGAACAAAAAATCTCATATTTTGATGACAGGGAGGCACTAAAACTTACGGCAAATTTTCCTAATGCACCACAAGGGAAATCTTAGTTGGTGCTGTAAAAGTTTCTACAAAATCCATTTCTGTTCAGACAGACTTAAATAACCTGGCCAAATATAGTAGTAATGCCCAAAAAAATCAGATCATAATTGTGACACGTTTCTTTCACGGCGTTTATGACGTACAGTTTGTACGCCAGACACTCTAATATAGTCAGCGGGTCACTTCAGGGGTCAAAGGTCAGTATCATAATACTGAATTGCAGCCTTTTAAATAACTTGAACAAAACAACAGAGTTTTGTGTTGATTGAACGAATCGACGGTTTAATAATAAATCAGATTAATGTTAATAATATAAGCTAAAAAGACACAAAGTTACATTCATACTTCACATAATATTCTGTTTTGACAATTCTCAGTCCACGATATCTAATGTTAAACCTATAATATAAATCATAATTCACAGCTGACTCGGCAATTGAGTCTAATTTCACAAAGAGTTCACAATAATAAACAACGTTCACTGTTCACACAGTTAAATAAATAGTTCACTAACACATTACACTAAATTACATACAGTGTCTCGGTAAAAAAAACGATATCACGACCGCCGTTTGAGAAGACGGTCTCACACGTATTGACATTCACGCTTTTTCTATACCATAATAATTTGAAAAGTAGACACAATCACACCAGTTGCATACACACTTCAATACTACTAAAAGAAGACTCTTTTATCCAAAAATACTATGGTGGACCGTTTTGAACATTACAATAATAAAGGCGTATCTACCCCGCTCCTCTCAGACATGTGAGAGCTCGATTCAACTTCAAAATTTATCTGCCTGGCGAGGGTTCATCTTATGAAGTTGTTGGGATCCTTCCTAATACTTCTACCTAGAACGGAAAGGGGTCGTGTCCCTCTCCGGTTGAAAGACTCCAGCGGTGGAAGTTGTATAAGGTGTTTATCTTTGGGGGGGGGGGGGTGGCTGAATGGTTAGCGTCCGCGCGCTGTATCATAAATTCTGTCATTGAGTCGACTGGCGTGGTTTCGAATCCCCGGTTGTACGTGACAAGGAGTAGGGTCGCCTGTCCAGCCTCGTGGGTTTTCTCCGGGTTCTCCGCTTTCCTCCCACTGCTAAAGACCCCTACGCGCAAGCGAATTATTGAAATAAAATTAAGCCATATGTTAGTC